GAGTACTAAAAAGCTATTGGGAAAACATATATTTTCCAGCATTCATGGTTCTCAATGTGACTCAGAATACAATTATATTCCTGGGTATATATACAGGATGAATCAAATGATACCAGTCACGAAATTGGAACTCTAGAAGCAGTTGATAGCAAAATTTTAGGCAATAATGATGCATATAATAGCATATTGCCTTTATGCCGGTGGAGCCGCTAGCAAGCCAAGAATGCTACGCGCAACATCTAAAACCATGCGCAACACAAGGAACAAAACGAGATGCTAGAACGAAGATTAGACGGCCTTAAAGATATTAAATCATGGTGAGCGTAAACATAGATTTATTTAACATTTTAACGTAAAATAAGTATCTCTGGCTGATATATTTTTTATACGGCATCAGTCATATCACTTTCCTCACCTGTATCATATTTCGCAAGTGTAAATGCGGCAATTGTGTGATAATACATATACACACGAAGCTTGGTGCTGTCAGGAGATGGAATCTTGTAAATGTGGGGAAGTTCTGAAGGATAACTTGGTTTAAGAAGATGTACCACAGCCACCGTGCTGTTACTGCTGTATCATTCTACACTCGGGATTCAGACCTATTTGCTTGGAAAAATGGGCTCTAAGAAAACTTGCGAGAAAATACAATCGTTTAATCGTTCGTATTAAATAAACGTGATCACAGATAAACACTGTAGCCTCAAACAAGAATATATACGTAATTTGCTCTGAACCAGTCGGTTTATATTTTCTTTGATCTCGTGTCTTGTATTTTCTTGCGAAGGTGAGGGAAGTGTACATGGTTTAAACTCTTTGATGTGACTGATGCCGTATGAGCCCGTATCCCGTAAAATATATTAGTCAGAGATACTTATTTTACGATAAAATGTTAAAATAAATCTTTCTTTACACTCCTCATAATTTAATATCTTCAAGGCCATCTAATCTTCGCTGTAGCATCTAGTTTTGTTGCTTGTGTTCTGCTGATTTTTTTAGATATCGTGCGTACCATTCTTCGCCTGCTAGCGGTTCATCGGCATAAAGACAATATGCATCATAATCGCCTAAAATTTCGCTATCAACTGCTTCTAGAGTTCCGATTTTGTGACTAGTATCATTTCATTCATCCTCTATAATATATCCAGGAATATAACTGTATTCTGAGTCACATTGAGAACTGTGAGTGCTTTCCGAATCCGACCTACTGTCTGACATGCTGGAAAATATATCAAATGTATAATGCGCGTCGAAATTAAGTTCCTTAAGCTACGTCACACCACGCTCGTCCCAGACTCTTGTTGATACGCGACAATTTTACGAAAATCGCTGTTTAGAGCCTCGTATCTCGCGAATAAAAATAGAAAACCGAAAAATGTTAAAGAACCTATTAACTAACTTTTTGTCCTCTACCAAATATCAAAAAAAAGTTTTTGTGACATAAGCACTTTAACGAAAGTTTAAAATCAACCAAGATGGCGCCGACTCGTAGTGACGTCATGTGCAAGCAACTAATTCATAACAATTTTTTGGGCTCAACAGAATTTTTTTTAAATTGTCGAGATAATTGAGTATCCTAAATCATTTTATGAAATAAAATCTGGGAGTGACCGATGTCGTTTTCGAGTTATAAATTACTTTAAAGCCAAAATATCCGTCATCTTAAATTAAAACGTCATTGTTACCACAGCAACGGCAGTTGTGTAACTTTTGTGAAAAAATTCAAACGCTTCAGATGTGGTTTTACATCGATAAGATATACTTTTTGTTTTACAACAAGTGATAATTGTTCAAAATACGGCCGAAGATCTAATTTTTTTAAACTGTATTGAGCCTTACGCCTGTATTCTAAATGCTCACTCAGCTCATACTCGAGTGGAGGTTCAATTTGAGCTTCCATTGAGTGTCATTGCTGTTTTTGAATAGCTGGAGGGTGAGTAGTCACATAGTAAGGTACGACACTCACCCTCCAGCTATTCAAAAACTGCACTGACACTCAAGGGAAGTTCACTTGAACCTCCACTCTTTGAGTGTGAGCGTGAGTGAGCTTTTACACCGGCATACGCGATAATTTCGTATTTATGATACAGTACATGATACATATTCAGTCCCCATGATTGATGTATTACCTTAGATAAAACCATAGATATCTTATATACACTAGATAGCGCATCTCTTTTAGTAAAATTGAAGCCAAGAATATTCCAGCGGTTACCCCCATTTGAAAAGATGGCCGCCATGTTGGTCGTTCCCACTCGCTAATAAACCCTTAAAAACAACAATAACTTTCATCATTTGAATACTTAAAAATGTATTTGGTATAGGGTTAACTTAATGTTTAAGTTCCCTGTTTAAGAAATAGAAAATATACGAATCTTCTCTCATTTCATGGGAACGACCTGAGACTGCAATCACGGCTTCAATTTTTGAATCGCAGAATAACTAGACGCACTATCTAGTGTATACAAGATATCTATGGATAAAACATTATCCACTGTTCAGACTCTCTAACTTATCAACTCATATAGGTATACGTACTGTATCATAAACGATCGTCTCTTAATTACGTTTATTTTGATGCTATAGGCGTTAGCCAAAAAGCCACGTAGGTATATTACTGTGTCAACGCATTATAAGTGTCTGATCAGATATCAACTGCATGGTCCATACTATCATGAGTGTAATGATTGTGGTGTATATGTACTCTATGTGGTAAGATTATATGAGATATGATCTACTCTGAGTTTGTCAACATCGGGAAAGCTGAAACGTTTGCTTGGCCCGATGTGGCACGCACGACTACAACCCGAAACCAAATTTCATTTTGTATGAAGTTTTCCCCTAATTTTTAGATGTTAGTTTCTTTGTTATTAATAGTGTATAAAAATATCAGTTACGTATCATTGTTCAACTTTGATACAGGAGATTAATATTTTTAATTATGTTATTTTCTATCGCAGACCATAGCGGGCCTGAAGTGACGGAAAGTATACTTAGTGTATAGCTTCCTGATATCGATACAAATGATCATTAAAAAGAATTTTAAATATCTTAGTTATTTTATAAGTTTTCAAATTATTTTAATTAATATAGTTCTTACCATTATTCACATTAAACCACTTGAAATATTAGACACATCAACCAAAATTGTATGTAAACGTCACATGTTTAAAAAGCTTCGTTATGATCAGTTGAACTATAAAAAGCTCTGAAAACAACATAATATATCAGGAAATGGTTTTGTCGCGGATTAATGGAAAAACAAACTGAAACACAATGATGGGTTTACAAAAGAAACTTCTTAACAAAATACAATTTAATATGCATCATTCTGTCCTCTAATATAGATGATATAGCTAGCTCTCGACCAATGATAAGGCGGGATCAATTGACCACTTGCGTAATAGACTAAATTTTGATCTAGACAAAAATTTCATCACAGCTTGAAAGAGCATCACAAAATTAGTAATATTCCAAAGTTTCGTTGCGAAATATTGTAAAATGCGGATAATATAGCCTTGCGAAGTTTGCAATTTTCAGTCATTTTAGATTACAAACGGGAAATTGACAGCCCAATAAATGACTGAAAATTGCAAACTTCGCAAGGCTATACGAATATTACTAATTTTGTGATGCTCTTTCAAGCTGTGATGAAATTTTTGTCTAGACTTGTTTAGATCAAAATTTAGTCTATTACGCAAATGGTCAATTATTTTTTGCAAAATGCATATAGGCTTTCGGCATATACTTGTTTGTTGAATATTTAATTCTTATTCAAAATAACCGAACTTATTAACTGTACAACGGCGTCGAGCATAACATGTGCCAGCTAATGGTGCCAAATGCAGCTTTCAAACACAAGTTGGAAAATCCCACCATGACACCCTTGATTCTTGAAATAGGCATTTCGAATAGCTTATTCGGTGTGATAGGTGCAAACGGATGGTCAGGTCAATACTCAACACTTGAAATTTCTCACATGCCCTTGACCTGAATCCAAATAATTGCAAATGTTTGGTAAACTGCAGACCTCCCACCCTTTGCACCTAACCATCCACACGGGTAATTTATGCATGTTACTGTGGGTGTTAAAACGATCTTATGCATGGGCGGCAGGAAGTTCACCAACCTACGTCATGACGTAATGACGACGTATATTTTTGCTGCCTAATTAACAGAACTTAACCTATAAGCAGAAACACTAAATCAATTCCCACGAAAGGATAATGACAATGGATTTCAGAAAGAGCTCTTAAAACAGTAATGTAATAGTTATATATTGCATTCATTCAATATATGTCTTCATTTTTGAGATATTTCAGATTGTTTAACATGTAAATACAAGTTGACGTCGACATTGGCGGAGTAATAATTACTGGCAAAACTTGATAGTAATTTAGGTTTTCCCTCAGCTGTTTGAAGATCTCATGCCGGACAATTACATATTTACTATTTGATATAAAAGTTTTTTGGGTTTCTTTTGGAATACTTTGAGGACTTTTTTAGGGTTTCGAATTTCTTACCATGCTAATGATCTCACAAATCGGTCCCTGGAGTCGTTAGCGAATCTCTTGATTTATGACAGCGAGGCTCACAGGCCACGGCAGTATTCGTGACGTAGTTACATGTATGAAGGTCTCCAGGGCAGGGTGGGGGACTATGTTCCCGTGCTCCCTTGGAAATTTTTCCTTTGGTTTCTTCTTCCCCACAAAGATTTCACCATGTTCCCTCCTTGTTTCCCAAGTTCACATGTTTGCTTGTTTCATAGTCCATACATCTTTTTGCTTTGTTTTCCGTGCTCCCATGTCCCTGGAAACCCCTTAGTATAGATCGACTTAAAATCCACTAAGAGCAACACATCTGCCAATAAACGAACAGGGTTTTGTCAGGTGGATGGACGGGTAATTATACTTACAATATAACTCAGTGACAAACGTGCAGGCCCTCATAGCTGAGAAACTTTAAAAGTAAACAAATAAGATCCGTATACGCGTTACTTGGCGTGCTAATTCTTATGTTAACTAGGCTGCCCACACACATTAAGCATTTTAAACAGAAAATAGTATTATATAGTGTACAGCTGAGTGACACTCATGGTAATTATAGCATTTGTCAAATCCAAAAGCAAACACATCGTTGTTAGTGTGTTGATAAACGCAAACTATATTTAACTAAAAAGAATTTACCGTAATTAATGTGTGAGATCTGATATACATGTAATGGTACATCAAATATTCGAGACTTTTAACGTGGCCTATCTTGCAAATTCCTGCACATATTATATTCATTTCTTGATCTCCACAAGCATGAAACTGTTTTGATATCATGCCAGGGCACTCTGGCATCCTCTTGGCAAGCTAGCTATACATTTCCTTCATAGAATGAGTTGAAAACCTCGACCTATATATACATGTATGAAAGTAAGACAAAAAAGAAAGCTTTCGTCGTCAGTGAACTTCGAATTATAGAAGACAAAAATTTACTGAATATGACTTTATTGTACTATTTACCAAAATTGGCAAAAAGATGATAATTAATGTAAAATTGAAAATTAAATAATGCCTCTGTCCCCGGGAATTGATCGAAAAGTCAGTTTTGTTCCAAATTAAATGAAATAATCATACATATTTTGAACAAAATCTATAAAATGTTGTCTCTTTGTCGATAACTTGTCCAAATAATATATCTTTTTACAATATATGCAAATTGCCTATCTATAATAATTTATTCCTTGGAAATTTAAAAAAATGGTAAATTGATATCCTTGATTATGTCTCTCCGTACAGACACCTCTCTATTAAATATGGGCACGATATAATAGTCTATATATTTCCTTTAAAAAACCTTTATAAACTGAACAAAACTATATGTAGTCTCCAATAGTCAATACGGGCACTTTTGTGTGTCATTTCACTGTCTGTTAAAAGAGATCCAACTGTGAAGTATTTTGAAATTATATATACAATATACCGTACCAAGCATATACTGCACAATTAATTGCGCAACAGATATATCAATGGCGGCCAATTGCCATTTAAAAATTATTTTCATTCAGTATAAATATGGAAGTCATAAAACTGTCAGTGTTATTATTTTTAAAAATGGCCAGCATGATGAATGAGCGTATCGCGTACTTGCGTGAAACCCGTGATACTGCCTATAGGGGATATAGGCAAACGATATTGTAAGATCATTCATAGCCAGGCGCCAAGTAGTCTACTTTGTAGGCGGGAAATATACACTAAAAAACAACCTCCTACTAGTTTCCTATACGTTATTTCATAACTCGTTAACAAAACGGGAAAACCATTCCTAAAATTCATTGGTAAAAAGAAGCATTTTTCACAGCTTGGCTTCGGAAGCAGGAGGTGATATAAAATTATATACTCTAATAATTGTATATAAAAAATTTGTGTGATAAATTCATCGAGTGCTATTATGAAACAGTACGTGGTAAATGTTTGAAAAATTAAACTCATATTTATAGAATAAACTACCCTGCATCTTTGTGAGGAGTTGAAGTCACTAATATACTGCGTGGGTTTGGCTAGACACCTGACACGTCGAAATGTTTTTAATTTTTTTTTAGGAAGTTCAAACACTGAAACACAAACCACAGCAACTGATTAATTGAATGAGAATACTATCTTAACATGGACACTGCATTCCCATGAAATATAATAGTCATACAGTTTTTAAGTTAAATAGAAGCATTCATTTTTGTCTTGGGGGGATATGATGAATCATCCTCAAAAAAACGCAAGGAATTCACACACCGCCCATGCAGGCAAACCACATTAAAAAAAGGCCGGTTTCAGTTAATTTAGTTGGGAACAACATGTGATATCTTACTTATTTTTTACTTTTAGCTACAATTAAATGTTCTAGTTCGCTATTGAAATAGTGATTAGTGTGGATTTTATATAGAATTAATCCATTATAGATTCTTTATATAAAACATCTTTGAGAAAGGTTTTGTATAAATGCACGGATGTTTACTGCTTTAGCCTAAGGTAAAATAAAATTACAGCACTATAAGCAATATTTAAATGATTGTGTTTTTGTCAAGAGTTCCTTTGCTGTCGTAATAGGATAAACGGTAGTTACTTGTTCGTCATGATTCGTAAGGACGAATGCAGTTAAAGCTTTATTTCAAATATAGAAACTATACATGATGTAGAGGGTATATTAATTAAGGGCATTAAGGAAGTAGGCTAAACAAAACTGTCTTAGTATCGTGAAAAAAATTGTAAAGGAAAATTCACGGGCCTTTTCAGGATACATTAAATTCTCGCCTGCAGTTATAGCTACCAAAACCTGAAATCTATAGAGGCAATGAATTAAGCTCCCAGTATAAAAAACCTCGGGCTGAGAAAGTATATTACTAACTACTGTTGTTTAAAAATATTATACTTTTTTGCACTTCAGTTTAAGTAGAAATCATCGTGTTCAGACAGGAAGATACTTATTCAATATTATTGCAAATTCAAAAAGTTAATCTGTTTTTAAATAATGAACTCAATTCTAGTGTCAAAATCGGCCGAGACTGCCGGAGTGCGTGTGGAATAACTATGAAATGAATTAATATTCAATTCGGTGGCGTCAAAAGTAGTTTCTTTACCGCTCAACGTCTTCACCGAGAAATAATTAAGCAAAATTGATGTTGATTAGTCTCAACTGATATTTCCCATGCATCAATATATAGCTATATAAAACCAGGATAACAATTTAAACTGAGTTACACATTGATTAATGAGTTATTCAGTCACGTTTAGAAAACTTGTTTAGCCAACAAAACTCGTCAAACCTCGTCAAACACTATGTCTATATGATATATAACACTGGCAAAATTTGAAATAATAAAAATTCAAAGTGAGTTCACCCAAACCATATATCATTATTATTTTACTGAACTTTGACAATTTATCCATACAAATACATGATATTAAAAATTTATAAAGTCACAGTGCTTATCATTAACTCGTCTTTATAGCTATTCATGTATAAGGAGACGTACGTTTTGATGACCAATTTTGATCATCTGCAGATAATCATTATAATAGCATTTTAACAGTCGCTCAAATAATATTTTATAAATTTGGCTCAAGAGGGATTTGGCAACTTATAGTATTAAGTCAGGGTGCTGACGCCATTCATGATGCATATAAGGGTACTTTTTGAAGACCAACTTTTGTGGATATATAACCATTATAGCATTAATGATTAAAACAATTAACAAACCATATATTTTATAGCATTTGGCTCAAGTTGACAACTTAGTCCTTTAAAGACGACATCAAGTATTAATCCCGGGCGCTCGTGACTTCGTTACGCTGTTACGCTATTCATGCATATATAAGTGAGGAGACTTTTTGAAGACCCTCAGATTATCATTTATACCATTTTGAATCGCTCAAACCATACTTCATAAATTTGCCTCAAGTGGGATTTGACGATTTAGTCTTATCGGGTATTATATTAAGTCAAGTTACGCTATTCACTTATAAAACAATAAAAGCTAGGACACTTCTTTGAAAACCAATTTTCATCTCAGATAATCATTGTCTCGCTAAGCCTATACATTATTGAAAGTGTTTTTTCGTGCCAGAAGCCAGATTCACAGTCATATTGATTATTGCTGAATATTTTTTTATTATTTCGTAATCTTTGTTTTTGTTCGCTCTAGCATAAACAACGTACGGCGTTAATGAGTAATGAGTGCTTAATTTTAAAAAACCGACGGCGGTGAATAGTAGAGTCCTTGTATATACATACAGCATTTCCCGTTGATAAAGGGAAATTGCGTTCATTTTCAAGATATTACCGAATGTTTCTGCTGATAATTTCCTTAACCCACAAAACAGCACGTCAGAACGCGGGATGAAACCTCAACCTTTGCCTAAATTTGAAAAGCCACACAGTCATATTTATACAAGCGGTTAAAAATCAGCCACGTGTGACTTGTGTTTCCCCAACTGATATTTAATATTCCGATATTGCAATGTCTAGTTTTGAAAAAGCTCGCTTTGTTGCTCCGTTGCTTTCAAAGCAAACCCGAGGACTCGACTCAATGAATCCTATATTACACTCTCGCGAGAGCCGTCATCGACATAAAAAGCGAGTGTGTTGAAAAGTAAACTCGTGAAATGAGGAAAGTCATCTTTCCGCAGTCGTAGCAGCGAACGCCGTGAGCGTGGGGTAGGCTAAGATTGACAAGCACGGAGATGGCAAATTTCATTGAATTTTAACAGGCTGGTGACTAAATGAGCTGTTGACGAGATATGATCTGAACCTATTTGCCAAACACCGGAAACATCTTTTTTGCATACCACTACTTCCTGTGATAAAGAAATGTCTTTAGTAACTTTTTATTCGCTCTTGCATGCTTAAAAGATTCCCATAAGTGTCGAGTCGACGGGCAAATGAGTACGGGCTACGAGTAAGGGAAAGTACGAAGAGGTTTCAAACATTAAGGACGCGGTGTACATATCGCAACACGGTGTTGAAAGGGTGTTGTATTTGAGCTCTGAATGGGGGCATCCTGAGCTATTTCACAAGATTATATTGCCTAACCTACTGTGATTTCCTAACTTCAACTGTTTGGAAAATTCGGATTTCGGAAGTCGGCTTTGGTGTAAGTCCTTTCAGGTGTCGTGGCTGTATCACTTATGTGAAGGCAGCGAGCGAGATTGATGCTTGAATCTTGTATTACGAAGCAGTGGCTTATCAAAGGAACTTGCGGGTATTAAAGAGCGAAACGAGGTTTTGTGAAGGAAACATCGGAAGTTCTGTGTAAACCCAGGAAGGAACGAAGGAAGGCAAGCCCTCCATTAATACGCGACTTGCTGACATTCTATCCTAATCACAGACACGTTTCGTAGTTCGCTTCATGAACTGCTCTTCGACTGCGTTAGATTACGTACACATTGTCTATCTAAACCTACTATATTTACTCGCGGAATTCATATATATGGCCGGACGATTCGACGCTCAATCTAAGGGCTGGCAGAGTTACTCGAAACCTATCGGACGACTACATTCGTACGGTACGAAATTCGGTCACTACAGAGAAGGAGCCAAAACCTTACCCGAAGACGACGAGTGTATATATTACCCTACTGTTTACGGCAAGGAGGATAAGTTGAAGATTGTCAGCAACCCGGGTTACGGAGTGTATGGTAAATCCGAGTTTAAGACAAAAGACGCGCGGTTTAAATCGACCAAATTCGATTCGTATGATACGGCGGATGATGAAGGCATATACGAAGTCCTAAACTGTACGGTCGCTCAACCGGCTTCGTCGCCACCACTTCGTACGCAATTTGGGAACAGAAATCCCCATACCCCCGTCCCAAGGAGCGTGCTTCGTGCGTTGAACAACGACTTCGCGCAAAACACGGGTCGAGTGTTGACATTTGAACCGAGCAGCTGTCGGCGCCAATCGCCTGATTTCACGAAGAACAACAACAACGATGAAAAGACTAAATTTGCCGGTCATAATGGCTTTGTTTCGCCACAATCCGAGCACAGCTTGATCGAGCACGAAGACAGCGAAGAGCTGTTAGACTATTGTACCTGTATGTGCGTTGTGAAAGGAGCGTTTTACCATTTCACAAAGGACAGTGAAGACGAAGGACATCTCGCTGATCAGCCATGTTCATGTGCTGGCCCGATGAGTCAATGTTTACCACGTTGGGGCTGCCTTGGCGTGTTCGCCATGTTCTTCCCCTGCCTATGGTGCTACCTACCAATAAAAGGGTGTAAAAAACTCAGTAACCTGAACAACTGCTCGGATACTAAATCTCTTGAGAAAAAGCCAGGGAAATAACGACACAATGTGTTCAACAATTGGCTTGTTTTAGCTGTAAAGTGGACCAAGGGGAACGGACTTTCTGTTTGTATATATATTTGCCCAGCAAAGATTCGGCCCACTGCGTCGATTCGAAAACAATTCCTTAAATCAGTGCGTCCATGATAAATTATCAACCTTTATCAGTATATCTATAAAATTCTACAGCTGCCTAGCTATTAAATTTCAATGAAATGGGACGAATACAATGAATACATTGATATCGCTAATGATGGTACCAAACTATTTATGTTTATATTAAAACGTTCGAAGTAAGTTAAAATTTACACATATATAGACAGTAACGAGAATCGTATTTAACTAGATATTAGGCACAGCGCTGTACTAAATTATCTCACAAACGGTATCGGAAATTTTTTGTGTACATATTTCGCATGCGGTTAATATTTGTAAAGTATACGTAAAGTGCTGTAAAATATTTTGACTGGCGTGTACATAAATGCTAAATAGTTTATATAGTGTCTGTGATACTGCTGATGTAAATAATATAAATAAAATTCCTGTTTGGAGTGACACATGGTATGAGATTTTGTGTATATATATATATATATATATATATACGTTGCTTCTCGCTTGTATAAAATAGGGGTATATAAAATTCGATTATGAAGCTTCAATATACCCTTTGGCTTTGCCGCGTATGTATGCCATATGAGCAATCAAATGATGACAAATTTAGACAAGCATACTATATAGCCTGAAAATCTATCGATTCAAATATAACACGATATTTTGTTTGAAATATATTATACACTGCAGCATAACTAAATTAAGATAAAACGATTCAACAAATTTTACTGTCAATAGGCATATGTGTTTAGTGCTATCGAGTTTCATACTACAATTAAAAATGTGGCATAGCCTTTGGCTTTGAATGAAATGGCTTAAAATGGCTATTGCATCTCAAGAAAGGCTATTCATTGTATCTGAAGATCACCCATCTTATATTGCGAAACTGTCAATTTATAAAAGTTTTTTATAAAGATTAAAGTGGTTTAAACTCAACACGCGAGTTTATATTTTTATATTATAGTATGAATTGTCAGAGCGCACGCGTTTTTTAAACTCATATTTTACGTTGTGTTTTCTTAAAGCTCGCCTGTTCCTGTTTTAGCAGACGACGTGTTTACAGAGGACATACCAAAGCACACAAATCCATATTAATTTTGCTTGAAAAAGCTAAGAAAAGCCGCCGGGTCAACATGTTTTAAGCTTAAACGTCGAAATTAACCTATATAGGTCTTGGGCGCACGCCAAACGTCTGTGGGTTTGTGGCATTGGCCGATTGCGCGTAGTTTCAAAATTGAGGAAATGTAGGATGACGTGACATGCTTACTCATTTCCTTCGCGTGGAAAGCGGTTGAATCGGGGTAAAACTAAAAAATAGCCTTCAGCAAAGCTGAAACGTGATTGAGTTTAAAACAGTGATATAGAGGAAACGCTATAGTGATAATTTGTGGTTCTACAGTGGTGTAAAGAATTATAATTCATTATTATAGTCCCGGACTGGAGTAAATCCGTTCCGCTCATAAACACACATGATAAATATACAAATGCCTATGGGCCGTTGGACCTGTGGTGCTTTATAAATTCTACGGAAATTATCAGTTGAAGAAATTTTGTTAATCTTTTTTATTAACCATCTTAATTTACTGCATATAGAAGACTAGGAAATGATTATAGCTTATAACCCCAACAATACATATTACATTTCATTGACGAGTTGCTCGGAATGGGGTAAGGACGAATTTTATTTTCTTGAGCCATGCAGTTGAGGACCGACACTCAAAAAATTTTGTTGGTTCAAAATTTGCATGGGAAGTTCTGGTCAAAACTTCCGCCGTATTATTAAACGCAAGCAAGTAGAACTTCAAAGTTTACAATGAAAACTGATTGGATTTCGTTCAAGCTTGGTTCCCATTTGGTTATCAAAGTTGCATTATCGACGTTCCTTGTACCTTTGTCTTGATTCAAATTAGCATGCATGCATTGATCAAAAAATAAGTGGTCCCAACGTCTTCTAAATATACATACTTTGTATTTCAAATGCCACTCTCTCAACACCAAATTTTTAATCAGTGCAAAATAGTCTATACTCTGTTTAATGCCAGACGATCGGATACAGTAAACTGCCTGCAGTAACATAAACTACAAACTCTACTTAAACAGTTCTTTCTGTCAGCAAGGTCAACACTTATAAGGACGTAGTACTCCCAAGTCGTGGTCATACTCGAAGTTCCTTTATAATGTAACTATATGTAGGTTTCCATGAGGGGCGTCAAGGGTAGAAAACACTTTACAAAATCATGCGACTGTACGGGTGGAAGTTATGCGGATATCGAACCCAGGTCACAAACGTGAAAGGCATATGTTAGGGCCGTGTCACACTGTTGCGTATCGTACTAGCGTATGCCAGCGTATGAAAAATATCACTCATACGCCGGTATACACTGACATACGCTAGGGGTACGTTAGGCATAGGTTCAGTATACGTTTCAAGCACGGTCGCATACGGTGGCATACGCTGGCATACGGCGAGGCAGAAAATTTTTTTTAAGCATGTTCAAAAATTTTGTGCGTATCGGACGTATGCTTTATACGATAAGCATACTCTAGGCACACGCTGAATACGCTAGAGGTACGCCAGATGTACGGTACTCATGCGCTGGCATTTCAAAGGATTTTTGTGCGTATGAAAATTATTTCATTGATTTTCATACGTTTCTCTCATACGCAATAGTGCGACAGGGCCTTTACGAACTTCCCGATGAAGGGGCTTTGCTCGAAACTGCGAAAGTCGAAGTTCTGCAATATATTTTTCAGGTAGTTAAGGTTGCATATATCCTTCACACTGCAGCTGTCTCTTATTGTCTCTACCATGCTGTCCGTACATAATCAGTGTAATATTCTTTTTTTGTGTGTAATACTATTTCTTTATGGCTAAATAAATTGGATTTGATTCGGGTGAATATAAAGCATATATTAACAGAAATTGAGAACAGCAAAAATAATGGAAGGTGAAGACTGAAGGTGTAAATATTTTAATAAAAATAATAATAACATTACTTATTCAAACAGAAATACCAATACTGGTACGTTTAATACAGAATATTAAAGTTACATTCAAAAGAAAAAATGAAAAAAGCACTGATATTTACAATGGAATAAACTTTGCAAATCAAATAAAATAATTCCGCGAATGATTGATTAACTTTAGAGTCAATAAAGCTTTTTCGTAAATATGTGAACATTGTGTTACTGCTGCATGACATTAAATAGAGGGAAATTTCATTATATATAAGAGAAAAACTGAAGAAAGAGAAGAGCATTGGATTAACTGTGGAATAGAAATAAGAGCCGAATGAAATGATTCCATATCCATCATCCAATCAGCTCTAGGTCCAGGAACAAATCGCTACCTATAGCCTATCAGTTGAAATTGAGTTACATGATTGATTTAAAGACATTTGTTTCTGGTCAAAGTGAAGTTTTGAATAATGCAGCCGTCTGTATATGGTCTTGTGGACCCTGTTTTATATTGCCGAGAAATTTGAAGAATAGATCAATCTTTCTGCCTTCTTGTCGCACTGCATGGTGCGAATGAAATGCCCAATGGCCGAGGAGAAGTGCTTCTAAAACTATATTTACATGTATATTCATTATAAGGCATATTTACATAAATAATTTCCATGCCTGCATTATACTGCATCATAAGTTTAGTGTTTTGTTAAAAATGTTTATAGAATAAACTAACTGCAAGTATTTAGAAAACAAATATTAAGAATGTAAACAGACATATAAACACATGTACGCGGTCTGATATATATTACCAAACGTTTTTGTTTAATATGCTTATCCAGTAATTATATCTATAATGACTTTTAAAACTAGACCACAATGCAGCTATATATGAATCCAACGTTTTCCTTCCTGAATGGAACCTGTTGATTTTGTTGAAGAATCGAGATATCCCCAAACCAAACCACAACCCTAAGTCCTAACCTATGATAATCCAAACCAGAACCGAAAAGTAACTGAGAACTCAAGACTAAACACTTTTGATTCTTCAAATCACCTTTGATGAATCAAAGTGTCCAAAAGTGTTTCCTGGAACAAATTTTTCCTTTTCAGTCAACCAGAACTGACGAGTGACGTGACCACATCAGTGCATGCACTAAAGCCTTATAGGAATTAGCTTAACTTATACAACCCTAATCCTAACAGTAACCGAAATCCTAGCACTCGGTTTTGATTTTTTAAAGACACTTGAAATGAACCTTTCCTGGAACATCGAAAAGGTTTCTGTCACTCAATCATGCCGTGACAACTATATGATGTGCGTCACATTGGCTTTGGCATCAACAGAAGGAAACGCATAAAATCCTGTTCTTAATAGTTCCTCTGAGTTCACAGCCTTCGCGCAGGACGTGAGTAATCTCACATGTTTTCTTTGCTTGTTATTGTTCCTATTTCAAATGCTATATCCTGCGTATTTTCTATGTTTCCATATATTGTGTGGCACGGCGTGTTGGCTGCCTGTGAACGGAAGGCTAAAGAAATTTGTAGATGCCCGTGGTGAATCATAATACAAGTACAAGATATAGGTATTAGTTCTCAGCAAGACTTGACCCCTCTTAAGTAGTTATACAAACTTTTAACTTCTCGAAGCCATATGATGGATTTCACTCTGATGATGTGATGTGAATTCCCAAAATCATGTGAATTCTTTGCATTACTATGATCGTATAATCGTTCTAACCCTGTACGTGGTGACTATATAAACGGTTCCTTGCTAATATACTGTATAGGCTGTATATGCATGTAAGTTTCCAAAACAATTCTAAAGTTGTCCACCAATTCTGTCCGCGATCTGTAGGCCCGTCACGGCTATGTCTATGAGTTAAACGAGTTTGATGACTCAGTAAGAATTTTCGTGAAAAAACAAGCTTCCAGAAAATCGATCCTGAATGGATGATGAATGTCTCTTCAAGCTTATAATTTTGAAATATCAATACTTCTCAAATTTTCGACATTTCAACTCTTACCTTAATTTACTATATTAATTATACAGGACTAGTCTATCACTAGTTGCATGTAGTTATATGATTTTTAGAGATGTTAAGTTCATATGTTATTAAACTTAAAAATTATAACTATTTATCACATGCAATGCACGTGCTGGTGTTTGTGTGTTTTATATGATGTAATGCAACCTATACTCTCAAACTCAAAAAGGCATGGAATGGCATTTCAGGAAGTGACTCGACTGTAGTTTTCTCCAAGCGAAGAGAGCATATCCCTTCTTCAGTTCTAGTTCTTGCCCTACAGTGGCATAAGAAGTGGGAGGCTAGCTGCTGTGGATACACAATGCAAGTACACAAGAAAAACAGAGTTTTGGGTGAACGTCCCAAGTATTACCAGAAATATTTTTTGATTATCACATGCACGAACTGATCATATTGGATCAAGAATATTTGTAATTCTTAGGAATGGAGTAGACATATAAACTATAAAATTATAGTCATGAATTCTGTGTTGGTGTAATATGTACTCAGGTGAATATGATGCTTGTGATGTTACACTGAGTGTATATCCAAGCTTGGCCGGTGTGGATATACACTCAGAGTAACATCACAAGCATCAAAATTATAGTCGTTGCGAAGATCAGAATTTTCTGGAGGAGCATGCCCCCCAGAACCCTCCCCCCCCCCGCTATACTATAGTTCCCTTACTGGTTGTGATCAATTTCACAACAAAAAATGGTCGGATTTAATTACGATTATTCATTTGAATTTTGATGAGCGAAATTGGTCGATCATACGTTTGCATCAAGTTTCATCTTAAAATTTGGTGGACCGTTCGAGAAACTAATAGCACTTAGAATTTCGAGACCACAAAAGCTTTTCATATCAATGGGCGTGTTTGGCTAAGCACTGTTGGTGCATGATCAAGCAGCAGAGTGCTAGCTAGTGAGAAACTATAAATGCTATTTTTTTATTATGCATGTAGACAATCGTGTATTTGAGCTTTTAGAATACAGGCGTTAGTTTGGTTGTGTTTAATTAACTGGAGAATAAAGGCTAAAGTAACCATATCAACAACTTTACAACACACAGGTGTAGTTTTCAAAATGCGACACGTTTAGCAAAACAACCATAAATAATCCTAACAGCTGTGATGTGTCCCCTTGCGCATGCGCTATTTTGGTTCACTAGCTGTGTGATGGGTCCACTATTTTAGATTATGCAAGTCGAAATATAACATCACTGGCCAGCTGCCATGACTTCCAGGTCATTCACGGTCACTGCTATTAAAATATATGCTAATTGTCTTCTTCAATATTGGTAGGTTAATTTCTTAATGTGTCCCAGTCACAACATGTCCATGGCAATGTAGAAATCGATAACTATTTTCCCCAACAATTCAAAAATCTTGAATGGAATGAAAATTTTTGGTATACTTCAACACATTGGCACATTGCGTAATATGTCTTACCACTGAAAGATCGCGGCATCAATTATTTCGCTGACCTCAGAATGACATTTCGTCAAAACGTTTTTCTTCAAGATTGGTTTAGAAACAAATTTGGAGTAGGGTTAGGTTAGGGTTAGAGTTGGTGTTTCGAGTAGGGTTAGTGTTAGTAAAACCGTTGCTTTGTTACGTTTCGTCACTCCGAGGCCAGCGAAATAATCTCTTCGTGAATTTTGCTAATGACTCATATAATTACCTAATCGGACAAGAACTAACTTATATGATATGCAATCTTTCTATAAAGAAGAGTCTCAAACCCATGTTATCACTAAGTTGTTTGGGGGAATCAACCACAAAGCATTTACTAACAAACTAAGCATTTACTGCCTTATTTAGTCAGCCATAGTTTTCATGGATTTACGAAATCTGTTTTCCATTTCCTAACTTTTGCATTCTTCTAATACTGCCCGTCATCAAGATGGTTTCGTATATCACGATGCAGACATCGGATAAAATTTTCCGGAAACAACACCAGACAGTAACCATATCGATATAAATGAATATGCAACTTTGGCGCAATAGTTCCGTATTATTAAGACTTATGAGCGATATACATTTTACATGCCAACTTGTGGCGTGGCTGAAAAATTAAATCTTTCGATACCATGGAGTGAAAATTATCTCAACATAAACCACGGTCAATCAGTAATTTCAGATAATACAACTAAAAACCATATTCCAACAAAAGCGGGTTAATAACATGAATATGCCTCAAAACATATTCGATACAATTTTCCACCTCACTCACCGATCTGGCATATTTGCAAACAATATTAGCCTACCTTAATTAAATTGCCCTAAATTTAATTTTAGGAAGTGTGTCTAGTCTGACCCGAATTAATCAGTGACAGTGTTAATTAAACTTAAAAATTTGAGATGTTTCCTAGTCATAGCATGAATTACTGCTCTGCCCTTTTAAAAATATGAGAAACATCGATTTGATCTTTTAGTCTAATGAATTATAAGTGAGAAGTTCTAATTGCATTATTAATTAAAAGCCATAGTATCTTGAACATAACTGGTCGAGGCGAGTTTTTAAAATCATGTTGCGCTTCTCAAGAAGCCCCCCCCCCACTCAATGTTGATTTTGTGTCATGGTAAGTAACCAAAGGTTGTTTCGGTGCTGTATGTTTTGTTAATGCGCATCAGTTAACTTTGCAATATTGGTTGGAATCACAAGCCAAGGGTTATGTCTAAGATTATAGCGCAGTAAATGTCAGGACTAATTATAACTTCGATTAATGAAGCTCCTAGTATATTTTTTAGATAATTTAGATAGTTCAATCATTAACAATATTAATTATCGCTAATACCTACACCACACTCAACCAAATACATTTACACAAGAATTATGGTACTAATTCATCATTCATCAATCAAAATATTCGCTTACCTCAAAATTTCGTTTCAGACTGTTGCGGAATTTTGAGGTAAGCGAAATTCTACATTTGCTCTACCTTTATGATATTGAGCACTCTTTGCGTTTCGTATACACAAACCTACTCGAAAATTGGGATTATTATTACTGGGATTGCCCTTATACTGTTCCTCTAGAGAGAACACTTTAGAACTGATAGAACTATCGATGAGCTTTGAAGCTTTAGTTAATTGTTCATATCTAGGTTCAAAGCTCCCATAAAGCAACATACTTTTAGCAAACAAACGAAAGTTGTTTAACCATATTCCGTCACGTTTTATTCACTAGAACATGCAAGAATGACGTAAATGATGGGTTAGGTACTGCCGCCATTGTTTTACATTGACGTAAATTACAATAAATTTGCATATAACGAACAAGTAGATAGGAAGCCAATTAAATATATCGGCTGTCAGTGGGACCAATTAACCTTGACCTTCCGGGTTAAGAGTTATATCATTCGGCACGCCCAAAATATTGCTGATTCATTATCGCCATAGGAAGCGATGGCAAGTCCTCATTACCCCCGACGAGATTACAGTGACGGCCTACCTCACAGACTTGATGATCGAGTGGTTTATTGCAGGTGGCACTGTATACACGTGGTACAGGTGGTATATACCACTCGCAAAAATCTTTAACAGTATTAAAAAATTTCAGGTGTAGAACAGTTTGACATTTTTGAATTTCGTATTTTTAGGTTTTATGCAGCAGATACCGGGATGTTCATGTATTTTACTGTTTCTCCTTGATATAATAGTTCCCACCGGGCACACGACGTTGTTTCAACGTTGAAATTTGGTAGAAAAAAGGTTGCGACGTCGACAACCTAATATCTACGTTGCTCTGACGTTGTTTTACAAACATTGGTTCAACAGCAGCCAACAGACGTTGAATTAACGTTCATTCATGGTTAAATGTACGACGTCGATTTGTGAACCAATCCCAACGTTGTTTTAACGTGGATTCAACGTTGAATTATGGTTGACGAGATTGGCAACCTAATTTCAACGTTGTTTCAACGTTGTTTCAACGTCCAAACAGTAACGTCGATCCAATTTGCATAGTCAACCCTTTTTCAACGTCTCTCCAACGTCTGGAAGGTCATTTCCAACGTTGATTCGACGTTGGATAAACGTCATTTTGCCCGCTGGGTTCTGGTAACTCGTAATTCGTTGCTATGGCAACATACACCTAGAGCAAGCGCCTTTCACCTCGGAGATTGTATACGAAGAGTTAATCAACGACGCTGTACCGAAAGTCGTGGGTTTTCTCCCAGTACTCCGGTTTCCTCCCACAGGGTGGATTGGGAATAGCCCCCTGACTGACCCTTCCATCAAAGATGAGTCATAAGGTGGCTGCCAGGGGCGCCCTTAGTAAGACTTCGACTGGATCAGGTTGAGCTGCAATCCTTCACAAAATATATCTATAAAATTAGCAAATTCATACCATCAGGAGATCGTTCTCTCCCCCCCCCCCCTCTCCCCCTTCAAAACAATGTTGACAGTTATTGCAAGCATTGTGCTACACAATTTCAACTCGATCACGAGCAACATTGTTCTGTAGGGGGGAGGGGACGGGAAATCATACTTTCACATGGGTAGTCTCATAATTTTTGTGAAGGATTGTGGGTCCTAGCTCTCAGCTGCAAGCCCGTATGGTTGATCAGCACACCCCACTTGTACTTACTTACTTTATTACTTCGTGTAGTTAGTGGATAAGACTAAGTACAGTGACCCAAAATAGTTTTACGTGTACTCTTGTACTTAGAATGTAGACTAAAAAGCAAAATATAAAAAAATCTGTAATGCAACTTTTGCTAAAAAAAAAGCTCAAATGTTGTTTTGTTCAGTAAGTTTTTGGCATTGCAGGACATTGCAAATGGTCTCAAGCCTTTTTTAAGATCATGTTGAATAGGAAGAGGTTTTTAAACACTTATTTGGCAACCTTCCGAAGGACTCCCGTTAGGGATTAAAATGATCTCGCATTGGATTTCCAGACAAAGGCGGCGTGGCTCCCTGAATGGCGCCGCCCAGTTTATAGGATAGCATGTGGAGCCTCCATAGAGAACAATTTCGTGTCCATCAGGGCTCACCGGGAAACCTCCTGGTATCCTGCTGGACCACGCCGCCCCTGTATATAGCAATGTACTTTGAGATAATATAAGGCCATATTTTTAATTTAAAATAATTTGGAAGATTAGCCAAACGAATATTTAAGTACAATGGTTCATGGTAATTTAATATCATCTGCATGATGACATTGATAAATTACATTTCTTGAAGAGTTTTAAATATAGCCTTCTGAAACACTTTTTATCTTTGACTTTTCAGCTTAAATTATTACTTGTTTCTAGTATTACCCTTTACTTTATAGTCTGTATTTTTACTCTTGTATAGTTGTATTTTTATAGTTGTACATAATAGTAATTGCATCATTCGATCAATGCAGGAATATTATTATACAGATGATGCGATCAGTTTGGATGGCAAAAATAATGGTGGCACCTTGATCGAACAGCTCAGGAAACTACTGTCTAAATTCGTCAGAAAATTGCCTTTCTGACTTTGCATTAAGCGTTTTAAATAAAAACGAACAGCTGGAGCTCTACTGAAGAAAACCTGTGTAATTTTGACGGCTAATTGATGGCGATGGGGTCAAATTGTTGAATCAGTGGAACACAAAACATTTGAGCTTCGGACCTATCTGAC